ACAAAAGAGCCCAAAACATCAAAATAAGAAAATACCGTAAATCAAAAAAAAATTTTCTGTTATTTAGTTTGGTTTAAAAACTACGAATTCTTCATTGCTTTCACTGTCGCTTGGAAAGGAATCATTGGATCCAATATTATGGTCAAAGAGAATGTCGTCCTTGGGCCCATCCATTGCGTTACTGATACAACATTTCTTAAATGACTTAATCACTATATCACTTCTTACTTTTTTCCACGAATTCTTCACCCACATGCAGAACTAGGCCTTTGCGTTTCATGAACCGATAACACCATGATGTATGACCAGTAAAATGTTTTAAACTATTATCACATGCAATCCTCTTTGCTTTAAAAATTATCATATTTGTAGAAACGGATAGTCCTTGCCTTCTCTGATCCACAACCCATTCATACAGTTTATTTTCGAGATCTTGCCATTTTGTTTTTTTTCCCTCAGAAATTGCGTTTATCACTTTTAATCATTTTCAATTCTTCTTCTTGTTTGTGCCAGCAACGAATCATTTTTTCTGTTATCTTTCGGCAGCCCTGTTTCCATGCTCTTTTGCATAATTAATCACACTTATTTTTAAATTCAGCTATGTATCACAGTCTCTTTTCTTTAGACATCGTAAGGGGTGAAAAAATAGAACGAAATATGAAGAAACAACTATTTTGCTCCCGAGGCCTAAGATACGGTACTTCGGCTTTCGGTGACGCATCCAACTTGACAGTCAGCACGTGCCAGACTGCCGATTATCAAATGAAAATTTAAATACTGATTAGGCGATTACCAACGCTAATTGCATTAAGCGCTCTGATTGGTCAAGCACATTGCACATTTGATTCCAAGGCAAGCACTCAAAAACGATTTTTTATTTGTTAAAGTTAGGCCTCAAATGGCCTTATTCTGCTCCACATTAAACAGGGATCGTCGTGTATTTACAAGCTTTTTTACTCTCATCCATTACTATAATTTATTTTTTATTATTTAGGGAGCATTATAAATAGTTATGTTTTTTAAAAGAAAAAAACTACTATTGTTATAAATAACATATTCAATTAAACTAAACTATGCATGCCTATTTAAACGTGGCTTGTGTATATCGTATATATACATATATATTATTCATACCTTCGGTGTATAAGATGCAAGCAGATTTTAACATCAAATTTTGGGTTAAAAAGTGCGTCTTATACACTGAAAAATATGGTACATTATAAAGGAACATAGGAGGTTAGGTTAGGGAATATATACCAACACAAGGACTAGCTGGATCTTCATCTGTTTATTACAACAAACAGTTGCTACAAACATCCATGAAACTATAAATAATAAAATTAGCACTGGCATATAATGCATATCTGTCAACCTCTAATACCCATGAATGAGTGAGAAAACTAAAAATCTAGGGTCCAGGGCTAAACTAATTTCACAATTTCAAGACCTAAATGGAGGACTCTGGTAGCTTTTTAGCATGTTGTTAAAACAGAGGTGAAAGGAGACTTGTTCACACAAAAGACTTTTTCATTGAAATACTTTTAGTTCTTACATAAAACAACTTTAACAGAATGTTAAAAATACAAACAACACCTGTACATTTACAGGTTCATTCAACATATGAAGGTCACAAACATCCAAAATTAGTGTATGTCAATTTTAAAAATAAAACGTTCTCAGATAATGTACTTGGTCTATAAGAAATGTTTCCAAGAAATTATTTTTCCCTTGTGATAGTTTCCCCATAATCATGTATTCAGGATTCGGTAAATGAATTAATAAAACAGTTGCACTTACTAGTCCCTACTAGACAACTACAGTAATATTTTATCTAACTGATTAAGAAAGTAACATCACTAATTGTATTTCACAGTGGCTACAAAGACAACAATATATCCTTATGGTAATGGACCTGGTTATGTTCTTTTGTTGCACCATTTGCACATCTTTAGAGGGTTCCCACTTGTAGCAGGGTCTTTCTTATTCTGGATTAGCTATTTTGAGTCAGGATGAAAGATAGTGTACCATCCAATGACAAGCTGTTCTGTTTTTTTCTGGATGGAAGACAGTGTACCATCCAATGACAAGCTATTCTGTTTTGTTCAGGATGGAAGATAGTATACCATCCACTGACAAGCTATTCTGTTTTGTTCTGGATGGAAGATAGTGTACCTTCCAATGACAAGCTGTTCTGTTTTGTTCAGGATGGAAGACAGTGTACCATCCAATGACAAGCTATTCTATTTTGTTCTGGATGGAAGATAGTGTACCATCCACTGACAAGCTATTCTGTTTCGTTCAGGATGGAAGACCAGTGTACCATCCACTGACAAGCTGTTCTGTTCTGGATGGAAGACAGTGTACCATCCACTGACGAGCTATTCTGTTTTGTTTAGGATGGAAGACAGTATACCATCCACTGACAAGCTGTTCTGTTTTGTTCTGGAAGGAAGACAGTGTATCATCCACTGACAAGCTATTCTGTTTTGTTCTGGATGGAAGACAGTGTACCATCCACTGACAAGCTATTCTGTTTTGTTCAGGATGGAAGATAGTGTACCATCCACTGACAAGCTGTTCTGTTTTGTTCTGGATGGAAGATAGTGTACCATCCACTGACAAGCTATTCTGTTTTGTTCAGGATGGAAGATAGTATACCATCCACTGACAAGCTATTCTGTTTTGTTCAGGATGGAAGACAGTGTACCATCCACTGACAAGCTATTCTGTAAGATAGTGTACCATCCACTAATAAGCTATTCTATAAGATAGTGTACCATCCACTGATAAGCTATTCTGTTTTGTTCAGGATGGAAGACAGTGTACCATCCACTGACGAGCTATTCTGTAAGATAGTGTACCATCAACTGACAAGCTATTCTGTTTTGTTCAGGATGGAAGACAGTGTACCATCCACTGACGAGCTATTCTGTAAGATAGTGTACCATCCACTGACAAGCTATTCTATAAGATAGTGTACCATCCACTGACAAGCTATTCTATAAGATAGTGCACCATTCAATGACAAGCTATTCTGTAAGATAGTGTACCATCCACTGACAAGCTATTCTATCAGTGGATGGTACACTATCTTCCATCCTGAACAAAACAGAATAGCTTGTCAGTGGATGGTACACTGTCTTACAGAATAGCTTGTCAGTGGATGGTACACTATCTTACAAGCTATTCTGTAAGATAGTGTACCATCCACTGACAAGCTATTCTATAAGATAGTGTGCCATCCACTGACAAGCTATTCTGTTTTGTCCTTCTCTATCAGGCTGAAGACTTTCTTCTCTAGCATTCAAATGGGGAATTAATTACAAGCACAAGTTTTGCAACCCGAGCAAGTTCTGAAAATCCAGTTTTGCCACCTGAAAGTTGCTAGATGTCCCCAAATTCTGTCGACCCTGTGTCAGCCAGGCTCCTCCCTTGTGGCTGACATGTATGATCAAGCAGTAGGCCAGCCTATAACATGACCAGACCTATGTAACGACAACTACATTTTTTACATTTGAGAGTTATATCTACCTTATCACTGAAGGTATTCTGACTCACAATTCCTTTTAGTATTGATCCCAATGAAGATTTAATCTTCTCCACATTCTTATGAGAATTTGAGTTAATGTGTCTCTTAACATCATGCAGTCTTTGGCTGAATGGTTACACATTGTTCATAGAAAATATTTTTACTGGATGATTTGGGCATGATATATGGGTATTTCTATGTCCATTCTGGATAA